GTTGGACTGGATTTAGCCAGTAATTAGTACTATTTCATGTTTAGAAAAGAGATCGTTAGAAGCCTATTGATTGAGATTTTCTTGTTGAGTAATGTCTGTCTTTTTTTAAATTCCTGGGTGAGCTTAATAATTTTGAATCACATTTTATTTTTCTCAGATTTTTGGGGGCCTTATTCACAGACTCAGGCAGCTGCAGAGTATTCTGAGAACACCAGACATTTATCCATTTGTTGTCATTTTTCCCTGTAGTGCTTTCTTTATTTACCTTTGGAATTTAAAAATTTAACCTGGCTATGCCTAGTATTTATTTATTTATTTATTTATCTATTTATCTATTTATTTATTTATTTATTTATTTATTATTTAGGTACCAGGGATTAAAATCACACTTAACTACTGCACCATATCCCCAATCTTTTTTATTATTATCATTATTTATTTTAAGACAAAGTCTCACTAAGTTGTTTAGGGCCTTGCTAAGTTGTCTGGGTCTGGCCTTGAACTTGTGATCCTCCTGCCTCAGTCTCCTGGGCTGCTAGGATTACAGGCATGTGCCACCATGCCCAGGTAGTGTTTTTTTATTCTAATCAATATTGCTCAAATGTGGAGTGTATTGATATCTTCAGATTCATGTCTTCCATTTTTTTTTTCAGGAATTTTTCTTACTGATGTTTTCAGGGACAACTTACCATGGAGTTCTCTGGTTCAAAGACACCAGTGGCTATATTGTTGCCTTGTCTTCCTGAGTGCTTTGTATCTAGACTCTATCTTATCTTTGCATTTGTCCCTGCAACCCCAACCATTGCAAACATTTACTGTTACTAATTAACCTTTAGCTTTGCTTCTGTTCACATAAAGCTTCAAATGTCATCATTACCTAGGCAATACAATAGACTCATTTTGCTCTTTACTTGGTCTCTGTGAGAACCTCTTTTCATCTCATTTGCATCATTCATCATTTCAATGTTACTTATTTTATTAATATTCTCTCCTTTTATTAAGGCAAAGTAAATTTGTAGCAAATGTACTTTTGTTCCTACTTTCAACTATTCTGTTTGATTTACTTTTCTGTAGCCTGAAAGAGACTGCTCATGCTGTCTTCATTCTACTGTTTTTTCTGAAATTTTTATAAATACTTCACTGCAGGGTGCAATCCACCTTGGGGTGGGGGACAAGAAGGACACACAGGTGATAAATTCATTGCAGGATCCAGTTCAGATCAATCAGGTAAAGGCACTGTGCCTATGTGGACCGTTCCCTTTTGCACCATCTATTACTTGCTAATTTTCGATGTGAATTTCACAAGTTCAGAAAAAAAAAACATTGAAAAGTGTGTGCGCGCGTGTGTGTGTGTGTGTGCGTGCGTGCACGCCCCTGCCTTCTTCCCTTCTTATATTTCTTCCCTCCTTCCTTCCTCATTTCCTTCTTTCTTTTTCCTGCGCTAGAGATAGAACCCAGGGCCTTATGCATGCCAGAGCTCTTCCACTGAGCTATGCCCCCAGCCCTTTTTATTTTTTGAGATGGGTGTTGTTAAGTTGCCCATTATTCCTGAATTGTGACCCTCTTGACTTGGTCTCCCAATTGTATGGTTTACAGGCATATGCGCATGTGCTCAGCATTTTAATGTAAAATTTATGAGCAATCCTCTAATTAAGACAAATATTTTATAATAAATGATTCAGTAAGTCACAAGGATGGATCACATTCCTTTAAAACTATCTTTATTGACGTGTAATATGCATACGAAAAAATCCACCCATTGATCTGCAGCACATTCTGAGTTGTGCAATCATTGTCATAATCTAAGGATAGGACATTTCAAGGTTATAGTCAGTTGAAGGTTAATTGAATCATTAACTTAATAATGATTACTTGATTAAAAATAAATTAAAATTAAGTAATTTAGACACACTAGAACTGAGGCTCAATGAAAATAAAAGTGTTACATGAACTATATGAAAATAAAAGTGCTCTATGCTAGCAGAGGAGGAGAGTAGGAACTATGTGAGTCTGAATGTACTTCCCGGAAGGAAGCATGAAATAGTCTTGGCTGTGGCCATGGGCAGAGACCAGCCAAGACCATACAGGAGGACAGGAGATAAGTGAGGCAGTGAAGGACCATCTTGGAGGCAGGAGAAGAGCCACAGGAGATGTGTTCTGTAGCCAGCTAAGGAGAGACTGGTGAACCCCGCTCTCATTCTGTCCTTATAGAGGAGCTCAGAAAGTGTGTGCACTTAGCCTCATCACTTAGAGAACCCCAGTCAGAAATATCCTGATGGAGTTAGACTCAGCATTTGCCCTCCTGCTTTAACTGAGAAGACTTTCAAAGAAATAACTTTCGAACTCTCAGCACAGTCTCGCCTGGCTGGGTTGCCAAGGGCAGAGACATGGATCAGTGAGACATGGAGCTGAACATGTCTAGGAAAGGCAGCAGGACTTGGGGGGCCACAAAGAACTACAGTGGCAACATTCTGTCTTGCTTTGATCTTTAGATGCTGCTCACAAACAAGATAACCCACTCCCCAGATGGCTACCAGCAGGTGCATTCATTCATGTAAAGTCAAAGTGGGAGAATACACACTTGGCATCTGTCACCCAACCTGGATTCCCAAGGTGAAACCGATGGCACGCTGTGTCTAACATGGGACCAATTAGTTCCATTTCACCTTTCTAAGTCATGAGTGGAGGAACTGGGTGATGAGGGTAGAGGCCTTATGATGGCACTGGTGCCCTTATGAGAAGACGCACAAAGAGAAGGTCCCTGTTCTCCTGTGAGGGCACAACAAGCAGCAGCCGTGCCAAGCCAGCCAGAGGTCCTGACCAGGAAACTTCCCAGCAGCCACCATCATGCTGGCCTCCAGAACACGGAGAATCAACTCTGTTGTCTAAGCCACGGTATGACCACGGTGTTCTGTTACAACCAGCAACCAGGGCCCGCTATGGCACCCATCAAAATTAAAGTGTTTCATCAGAATTCACCCGAGCTAACTTTAAATCAGCAACAGCATTTGCACCCACAGACAGGGAACAGGTCAGAAGGCTGGGGTGGAGACCCCAGGCTCCTCTAGGCTGACCAGCTTAGGTATTCTGCAGCCGGACCCCAGCCCCAGCCCCAGCACACCGCAGCCCAGCCATGAATGAAGGCCTCCACTGCCTCCAGAATCCATGGAGGTGACCCTGCTCTCCATGGCATTAACCTGAAGATATATGCTAAAAAACTAGGGACACTTTTGGAAATGTCCTGTCATTCATACCAGAAATCTACCACGTTAGGCACCCTGCCTGTGTCACATTAAAAATCAAAATGGCATAAAAAGGATACACAATCCCTGTCTGCAGCCTGGTGAACAAGACAAACAATACACTACCCATTCCTTTCCTTTCCATAATACAAAAATAATCAAAAGTCCCCTCTTTGGCCTCCCATCTCCTCTAGAGACCTCCTCATTCTCTCCCCATCACCAAGCCACTTCTGCAGAGAGCTCTTCCTAGTAGCAATCTCAACTGACTTCTTCTCTTCCCCCTTCCTCCCCACTCCTTCCTCAAGTGGCCCCTACAGGCAGCAGGCGCCTCTATCCAACCGCCCAGGGCCAGGCAGAGGTCACGTCTGTCCTCTTCTGTCGTGACCCCTCAGTGGCCCTGCCCACAGTTGACAGTCCCTGCATCTGCAGGGTTCTCTGTTTCCTCCTGGCTGCAGGGCTGGCTGCTCCTCCCCAGTACTCGTGGAAATGCCACCTCCGGGCCGAGGCAGGGTCTGAGAGCCAGGCGGGGGCCTCTGGGGCTCTCACCACCACCTCACTAATTCCACCACAGCAGCTCCTCAGCGCCTCACTGGTGACGTGCTTCACCCACTGCCCTGTGGCCGCCTGACTGCCCCTCAGAATGCGAGCTGAGAGCAGGACAGAGCCTGTCTCTTTACACTCCACTCCTCAGCATGACAGTGAACTCCACAGACAGTGAAAGTTCAATAAACCCCAGTGATATAATGAATAAAATAAAACAGCTGATAAATATATAATTAGAAAGTGAGATGTCCTCTCAAAATAAGACATAGTCCTCATAACAACAGGAAGAGAGGTAATCGTGCTTTGTGAGAAAATGCCAGTTAATATGGACAGGGGGAAAAGAGTGGGGCGGAGGCGGGGCAGAGCCCACTATGAGGTTGCTGTATCTGGGGGGCACGAAGACAGAGCTGAGACCTGGTCCTGGGGCTGGGCTGGGCTGGAGCTGTCCTGCAGAATGGACTTGGATGAAGCATGCCCTCTGCACTCTGGTTACTGACAAATCTGAGCAGCACTAGCAGTTTTTTGTAATTTCATAAGCACTGTCACCTACGTTTGCTGTAAAATATTGTGCTACTTATTTAAAAAAAAAATTATTCTTCGAATGCTTGTATGTGGCTTCCACAGGAAGAGTTTGCTATGAGCACTGCTTCTGAGACCATCAGAAATCGCCACAGCAACCCCGGGGGAGCTTTTCACCAAGCGATATTCTCTAACAAAGTGTTCGGCTGAGTTAAACCGTCCGACTAAGGACGGCCTTGCCCAGAAGGGTCCCGCCTAGTGAATAGTTGGGGAACAACAGTTAAGAAGGGAGGCGTTCTCTTGCCCATTAAAGTATGACTAACACAGGACAAAAAGAGAGTGAAATTAAGACTCCCAGGGGCATGACCAGGATAAGTGAGCACCATGGACGGATGAGGCTGGTTTTTATCTTCAGGCACAGATAAGCTGGTTAGCAGGTGACGGAGACAGACCCCAAATGTCAAGCTGAAATGAATATCCACTTTTGTAAGTCCTGGGGATCCAGCCCTGGACACTATACCATGAGCTACCAGGGCTTGCTAAGTTGCCCAGGTGGCTTTGAGCTTTTAGTCCCCCTGCCTCAGCTTCTTGAAGCTGAGACAACAGACCCATGCCACCATGTCCAGCTGAATATTTTTAATTTAAAACATCAAATAGAACATGACAGAAAACAGCAGAGGAGGACAGAGCTCCTACCTGTGGCCAGGTAGAGGATGTGGACGAGGGTGTCTCTGCCCTGCACCACATCGACGACCACGTGGGAGAAGCGGCTGTTGTCCTCCATGAAGGTGGGCACTGTGGTCACTGGCTGCACCACTTCATGCATCAGAATGAACTTCTGAGCATCCTGCAGGTTCCTCTCCGTCAGGTTCACATACAGGCCTTGGTCCACAGTGCCACACTGCAAGGAAAGACAGTCCACGTTACATAACCAGTCATCTGGACACAGCTGATGTGGCCACTCCAGCCCAGCTGACTTGGAACTTGAATCAGCCTGACCACACAAAGAGGTGTGCTTCTCCATCTCCCCTGACGTCCTTGTGCCTAGAGTCCATCTCAGTACAGACTGGAACTCATCATATTTAAAGAATCTCTCAACTCCATTATGAACAGAGAGATCCTAAGTTACAAAACAGAGTGGTATTTGTCACCAGCTTTAATATGAACACCAGATGCACAGACACTCATCAGCTGTTGAGTTCTTGGAAGCTCCCTGGCTAACACATACTATTATAACTATCTGATAAAGCAGGTACCCAGGTGGAAAATGCAACAATCAGGAACATCATGTTGATTTATTAGTTTTCTATTGTAGCAGTAGGTTTATAAGCAAACGTTGGTTCCTTGACAACTGCAGGACTTGTGTCTGTAAGCAGTGCACTGTCATTCACATGGGCTATGAAAACACTGTGCTGGTCTGGATGTTTTGTGCTTGTGTTCCCAGATAGAGGAAATAAAAACTTTGGTTCGAATCTAGGAATCTGAGAAATAAAATGGTAGATTTGCAATAGGAGGATTTGCAATAAATGGGATGAGGAAAGGAGAAAGGGGAATGAAAAGAAAGTGGGAAGGGAGAAAGACAAAGGCAGGAGGAAGGAAGGATCAGTTTACAGAGAGGAGAAATACTATGAAACCGAATCTGGGAGAATTCAGTTCAGAGCTGTGCTGGGGGGAGGCTGCATGTGCTACGTGTGACAGTTTCAGGCAGGGACAGGGTACAAAGAGGGGAAGGAAAGAAAGCATAGCATTCCCATAGCAGAGCACGGAATCAGAAAATCACCACCGACCTTTAAATTCTGGAACAAATAGTGAATGATCCTCAGCAGAACTTCACATAAGTAGGTTTGATGGAAATGAATTTGGGGGTCCATGCTGCCTGAAACTACCATTTATAATACACCATTTCTAATGCCTGGCTTTATAACAGGTCAGAGGTGCAAGAGAACAAGATGGAATTGCTTTTTTAAAGTAGATGGTATTTTTGTAGCATTTGATAAAATGTCTCACGTGCAATAAAATGATAGGCCAATTGCACAGAGAATCTCAGAGGTAAATGGATTTTGTGCATCTACTCCCATGCTTAATTTAATACCACACGGTTGCAGGGCACCTGGGTATCACAGGAAGAGACTGTGGGAGTCAAGGAGAGGGCCCAGGCTCCAAAGGATGACCGCAGTGTTTCAAGTGGGCTGTCATTCTCCCTACATGTGGCCTCGGGGTGGACCCTTCTCCTCATCCTCTAACGCTTTATCTGTAAATTGACCAGGAAAGTAGGGACTCTGCTCACTTCCTAAGGCTGATGTGAGAACAACTGAGATAACCAGAAGAAACACTTGTCCATGAAAATCCTTGGAAATGCCAAAGAGCAGGACGATGTGCCTGGCCTGGAGAGGTCACTCAACTCCACCAATGCTAAGTGTCCTCAAGTGGGACAGCAGTCCCGTGGCCCATGGAGATGTCATGGCTTGAGGGAAGTGAATAAATGAAGGGACAAGGAATCAGCACATGGATACACAAGTAGCTGTTTCTGGGGGATGGAGAGAGGCTGTGCTGGAGATTCTACATTATGATAGGGTTTAATAACAACACATGAAACACAGGGACATCGCTATTAGCCAGGGTTTTCTAAAACTATGGAGAGTTTCCAGGGGCTTGGTCAGAGGCCTATGCACGTGGGCTCTAGCTCTTAGGACACCTCTTTCTCAAACTGATGGCAAAACTTCAGACACAGGTAGCTACTGCAGCCCTGTGAGGTCTGCACATAGTGACTGCTTGGTGTTTATGGTGTTTTCAAAAACTGGCATCCTAAAAACCAGAAGGCATGAACTAAAAACTGCTCTAGAGGACCCTGGAGAGGGGGAGACTCACGAGAGTAATGCGGCCTGGGGCTGCCTGGCAGGGTTGCTGGAACTCTTCTTTACTCTTGAGACCCATATCTCAATTAAGTCATCTGCCCGCTCTGTCAAGAATGGCTTCTGAAACATTCTCAACTACTTCTTGGCTTATTCTACCAGCCTATAATAAATATCCCACCCAAGGATTCTGTTTCCAATATTTTGAAAACTACTCAAACGTATATATTTATTGGATCACAAACAAACTACTGAGCTTTCTAAGGGCTATAAATTATCTAGCTGTGCCTTATATGGTGGTCTCCCCAGTGTCTGTTGGACCTTGTGTGATGCCCGGAGTATACTGTGCAAGAATAAAACAATAAGAATAGAAAAAACACAGCTTTTGCCCTCATGTGGTTGAAATCCACAACAGCCCACCATGCCAACACCTACCTCTTCAAGCAAGTAACCCTGCCAATTTTTAAAACAATAACAAATATTTGCACTTCTGTGTATTTTTATTTTTCAAGGACAACTCATGAATCCCAGTCCTAGCTCCCCAGCACTTGCTGGTCAACCACACAGTCAACAGCCTCATCCTGACTACTGAATTTCCACGGTACCTTCATCCATCCCACTGCCAGCCTGCGTGGTACCTTAAGTGGTCCCAAAGGATACAACTGAATTTTACATTTGTTCTCTTAAGAAGTCTCCTCATCTTTCTGCTTTCAAGGGCTGATCTATCCATGTTAGTTGTATCATTTCCAATTGGTGGTGATCAAAACTGTGTGGAAGATTCTGGACCCTTCTACCCTTCTTTTACTATACCACTGGGTCTGCACAGTGTTGTTTTAGTGGCTGATTATTTTCACATGGAGACTTTGAATTTGGATGACCTTGGGACTGTATCCTCCAATGAGGCAGACAGTTAAAGAACACCAAGGGTAGCCTCTAGATTGCAACTGAGAAAGATAATCAATAGCTTTTGTTGTCTTATTAATGTTTCCAATTGAGATTTCTATACTAAATTTTGAAATATTATATACTGGCCCTCCCAAACCATTTCTCTTCCTCAACCTGCTATGCTAATTGGCTACTTCTGTTATGTAAGTGCTATATAAAATTCCAAATGTCAGCAGAAAAACAAGTATAAAAAATCTACCCACTTCACCCTGTTGGTTACTGCAAACATTAGGACTTTTATACATAGCTGATGGAGTGAGCCTTAGTGTAAAACTAATTCCCCCCTCTGTGGAAGTCCAGAGGGCTTTGTGGAGGGTGTCAGTGTGCCTAGGCCAGGGTAGCTCTCAGATACAGTAACAAGAACAAAGCACTTACTGGTGCTAGGGGTTACACAGAGAGTCATCATAATCTGTAACTTCTGTTCCCTGCAAGTTTCATTTACTTAGTTTTTATTCTTTATTTTTTTGCCGTGCTGGGAATTGAACCCATGTCCAAGGCTAGGTGAGTTCTCAACCACTGAGCTACAGCCCCAGACCCTCCCTGGAAGTTTTAAGTTCTACCCAAAGAAGACAAGCTCAGCTAAGCAGGTTTCCTTCCTGAAGTGCCTACACCTCTCTGCATGCTCCATACACTGCAGGGCCAACTCCCTTCCTGTGAATGAGAGCAAGCCTGCCACCCGTGACACTAGCACTATAAAACCAGGCACGGGTGGCCTGAGGAAATGAGGGCACCTGTGGTGTGCTACAAATATATCCAAATGAAAGGCTGAAAGTTATCCATTGCCTGGAGGTGTGGTACAAGGTTACAAAAATTATTATCTTTGTTAATTTTCAACCTTCAGGATTTTACAAAAGAATGGTGTATTTTCTCTTCTGTAGAAAAGGAATAATGAAGTATATATTTACCCAACATATGAGGCCAGAAGGCAGCAAATAGATTGTCCCAAAGAGTCACCTTTACAAATATATTTTACAGTAAATAACATACATTAATTGATATTACTGAAGTTTATTCCTAAAATATTCCTATGCATTTGTATCCCTCCTTTCCAATTTTCTTGGTGAAAATATAAAAAAGAAGATGCTAAATAATTTGTCCAAGGAAAGCAATAAAAGGTAAAGATGACATGTAAATTAGTCATCTTATTTCCAATTCCATATTCTTTCAAAAGTTTAAAACACAACACAGACACAAAAACTCAAAATAATTATAATCGAGTGATTCTTGCAAAATACTAGTAAAGTCTAAAATGACTGAACCTTTTCATCATCCTAGTTTTCTAAGGAGCCAAAAGGTTCATGGTTTTTTTGGTTTTTTTTATTTATTTATTTATTTATTTATTTTTTTGCTCATCTGTTTTTTGTTTTTTTTTTATTGTTGGGGTGGGGAGGGAAGGTTCATGTTTTATTAGTGATGTTACAGTCATTTAATTGGAATAGGTGAGACTTTGCAACTGAGAATGGTTGGGATTCCAAATCAGCAGTGGTCGTGGTAGGTCATCTGGCCCGGGGCTCCACCTCCTGCCCTTTGTGTGGAGAAGTCTCACCCAGCAGGGCACAGCTGCCAGTATGCAGCCTGAGGTCCCTGGAGGAGCCAGCACAGCGGGCAGAACTTGGTGGTGCTACAACTCAGACCCACAGTGACAGTGATGATGATCACAGGAGAACTGTTGGCAGTAAAGAGGTCTTCAAGGGATCCTGCAAGTAGGAACTAAACCTCTAGGCTTTGCTATCTGTGGGGCAGGACCTCGAAGGAAGTGATTAACGTTCAATGAGGTCATGAGGGAGGACCTCTAACCTGGTGGAACGGGTGGCCTTATAAAAAAGGAAGAGAAACCAAATATGTCTCTCCCTTCATAGGGGGACCAACGAGAAGATGGACACTTTCAAGAAAGGGAAATCAGCCCTCACCAGACAGTTACCCTGTCTCCACTGAATCTTGGACGGCTAGCCTCCAGAACTAGGAGAAAATTAAAGGCTCTTTCTCAAGCCCCCGATCTGTGGTATTTTATTACAGCAGCCCAAACAAACTAACAGACCTGCTGACTGAGCAAACCTCATAAATCACCTCATCTCTTTGGGTCTCAGCTTCTTCTGAACACTGGGAGACGGCCGGACTGACAAAGCCCTTGCAGCTGGACATCCTGTAATGTTGTGACTGAAAGATGAATGACCTTCAGCTCTGCTTCTCTCCTCCCAGCTGCCACAAGCTTGTTCTGCCTTCCCCAACAGGAAATCTCGCCATATTTGCCAATTAGAGCTCTGTTTGTGTGTCTCCATCACTCTGTGCCCTGGGCCCTATTCATCAGACGCCATTCATCAGGGATCAGAGATTCGGGGACACAGAGTCCATCATCGTTAGCACTAATTGGAGCCCAGGCTCCTAACACCCTACAGGATGCTGGCCTTTTTCAGTTCAGCATCAGGCCTCTCAGCTGACAAAAGGCCCTTTTTGTGGCCCAGGCGCCACCGTTGACAAAGGCTCATTGGCATTAGCAAAGCCGAGCATGGGACTGCCCTTGAACGGACAGAGAGATTGCAGCCGCCCTGTGTGTGCACCAAGGATGACGTTGCCCCAGCCTGTCTGCACAAGGTTTCTGTATTCTTCACGGGACATGCCCAGAGTGGCCCTCTGCCCCTGGAATTACCTGGAAGTTGGGGTTGGGGTTGGGATACGGCAGCCAGGCCGAGCGGGAGTTCTCCTGGTACTTGAAGGGCCCGTTGAAGGCCTGGGAGATGGCGCTGAGGTTGAAGACGCACACAGCTGAGGCCGCAATGCTGTTCCTGCAAAGCCAAGGGAGAAAACAAAGACAGTCAGAGAGCCCAGCAGTGACCGCTGCCCTCCACCAGCCACGGAGAAGCAGCAGTGACCAGGAGGCAGCGTCAGACGCAGGAAGACCAGTTCCCTAAACCTCCCCAAGACCAAGTCAGAGCAGTGAGTGGGGCTTCCCTGGGATTTCTCTTTGAGCAAAAAACCATCTAGGTATTGAAACAAGACTCTTTACCAGATATGACACGTGTGATCCTGCCAGCTGGATTAATTCATTCAGCCAGAAGGGACAACAAGGGATCCTTAAGGGCTGTGTGTTTTGCCTTTCAAATTCTGGAAGAATGTGGCCATCGCCTGTGGTGGCTGCAGGCTCCCATCACTCCCGTGGGCCCCTCCCCCACTCACCACTTTAGCTGGCAGTGGGTGGAGACCTTTTCTTCTAAATCTCCTGGTATTTGTGTTTATTTGTCATCCTTGAGAAATAATAAACTGGAAGTGTTTTGCAAAGAATGCCTGACAGACCCTTCATATTCTTTTTTTTTAATTTAGAAAGGATTGTAAATTCAAAGGGTCAGAGAGAAAAATCTACCACGGCACTGCCATATGAAATCTTAAAGCCTTAACTTAGCATTCAGGCTCTGCAGAGAAAGTCGTAAATGGGAGGATTTAGAAGGTCCTGGTCCTTTGACTAAGCATGGAAACAGGTCAATATTTTTGGTTAAATTTGCATGTTAAGCTCAGCTCTGGTTTTCAGAGGGGAAGTGGAAAGAGAAAGAGGAACGTGAACTTATTTTCCATATTAATGTTCGGGATCAATATCTTGCCTACCTATAGCCACTGTTTGGTCACATCAAAGGCAAAGTCCCAGAAACTCCAGGACCAAAATTCCTGCCGTATATTTGTTTATTGACAGACCCTAGACAGGTGCTAGTGCTTCCTGTGGGATTTACTCCTGCCAGGCCAGGTGATCTTTATAAGGTAAGAGGGATTCAGACAAGGACACTGAGGCAGTCATAGTGAGGACATGACAATAGGCCACAGTCTGGGGAGCGGATGACACTTGAACCCCTGCAGTCTGGCTCTGGAGACCTGGCCGGGTGGGTATTTGTGTTTATTTGTCATCCTTTAGAAATGAGACCAGGAAGGGGATGGGGCTGTCACTAATTAGAATATCACCCTGAGCCTTCTGCTAACCACTGACAAGGACCACAGGGTTTCTGGAAGAGTCCACAAATCCTGAGAACAACCCCACTTTCCAGATGGATAAACAGCAGCACAGAGGGCACATCACGGCCAGCCCTCAGCACAGGGTACAGCATTAGGATTGCACTTTGCATGGGTCCCTGAGTTCACGCCGTGATCCCACTGCCACACTACCTTCCTTACCCTCTCCCTATTAGAACCACACCTGGGATCACTCCCTTCTCCCACTCTGAATGGGGCTGGCCTGGGCTCTGGTATCAGCCCAGAGCCTCCCCTGGATGTCCCAGTAGCTGCTGGTCAGTGTCACTCACTGTGTTGGGAGGACATTTCTTCCCAACTCCTGGCAAGGAGAAAGCATCAGTGGTGCAGTGTCCCCCTGCCCCTCGCACTTCACTTGCTGTGCTCTGTGGGTGGGCAGACCTGCAGAAGCACATGTCCACCTTCTCCAGGGTCTCCTGGCAGCAGGAGGCCAGCCCGGGGGTAGACTCCAGTGACCTTGTGAATGTATCTGCTTAAAGCTGGGCTCCGTATCAGTAAGTCCATCTGGTTAAGATTCCTGCAGCTGTTTGCTCCAACCTGGCTTCTCTCAGTAATCAAGGTAATCATTTGTCCTCATTTAATGCTGTTTATTTCTTGTTTGTGCCCCAAATGGATTAAAATGGCAGAAGACTCACTTAAGTGAGCCCATAAATGGGGGAACTTGAAGTTGTCTTCTATTTCACGATTACCGAAAGTTACTGGTAGAAAAGTGAAGTAAAAAAAAAATAATCCTTCTAGTTCTTATTCTTCTTAGAAGGGAAAAAAATAAAACTTTTTTCCTAGCAGCACCAGCTTTACTGTCTAGATATCGATGTGCACTAAACTACGCTCTGTCCTATTCTCTACGCTACATACAGCTAGAATGCTGGGCCTTCATTTATAGATATCCAGAATAAGAGGTAACACCTTTAAAAATTCTATTGCAGTAGCAAACTGGTTCCTGCAGCTCAACTCTTAATCAAGTAGTTTAGGAAAATCTCACAGTCCTAGAGACAGAAATGAGCCAGAATAGGTCCTTCCCCGCTGGCTGTCCCCATTCTCCCAGGTGAGAAACCCTGAAAAGTGTGGAGGTAAACTGCAACTTCAAGCTTCCGATCTAGCCTGTAATTCGGAGATGGGAAATTGCCAGCTACCTGAACCTCATTTTCTTTCAGTTAAGCCAGACTTCTCACAAAAGCACTCATCTGTTGGAAGGGTCAAATCAAGGCTGAGCCATAAAGGAAGGACAGGTGGGATACATCGTGGGATTAGAGATGGACGTATCAGAAAGAATCAGTGGGAATAGATTCCAGAGAGAAAGAGGAGGTAGGCACATGTTGAGTGACTTCTGTCATGGCTGCAATAAAGCACAGAGAACCTCACCTACAATAATCTGAAACATTTCTGTGCCTCTCTGAATGGACTATTCACTACCTTGGAAAAGTTCAGGCAGAGGACTTTTGTAACTTTTGAAATTGGTGTTTTTGTTGTGGTCATTTTTTTTTTTTTTTTTTTTTTTTTTGCTCAGAGCCAGGGGAATCAACAGCTAAGTAAGCCAAGCCCCCATTGTGTGTAAAATTGATGTCAACTGAGCAACAGAACATTTATCTTGTGCAGCCTATACTACTCTTTAAACAAGGTTTGGAAAAGCAAATCAACTTCAGAAACCATAAATTGATTTTTTTTTTTTTTTTAAGAAACTTCTCCAGAAGTAAAAAATAACATCTGGGCTTGGAAAGCAGATTTGCAACAATAAGAATAGCCAATGGTGGAGGGGGCCGGGTGGGGTCATCCATGCCACCTGCTTTTCTAACATCTAAGAAAGGAGAATGTGGAGTAAAATTTCAATCCAGTGAATCTAAACACTTACCAGGAGAAAGGGCAGGAGGAAAAGGCTAATGAGGAATAAAGGGACAGATAAAGTAAATGACTCTAGAAATATAATTCATGGGCACACTTCTGATGCCAGAGATAAAAAAAAAATAAACTAAAAATATGCAGGGAGCTGAGCAAGCTTCATGCAGTAATCCACTGCCTGGTTTGTCCAGAACTAATGTTCCCCAGGATGCAAGGTAGTCATCAACACCCAAACCAGGCTAAGCATGGGCAAGCTGGGGCTAAGGGCCACCCACCTCATCTCTCAGCAATTTTTACCCTTTCAGATTTGGATTCTTTGCTCTGGAAACAAATACTTGACTTTTCTCAAAGTTGTTAGGTCTCCAGATGAGAGACTGCAAAGGTGATCCAGATGCAGGGCAAGCACAGCTCTGCCAATGTTGAGGGAGTGTCGCTTCTAGTCCCAAGCGCTCTTTTTAGGTCTTATCACACCACCCAGAGCAACAGAGCACTAAGGAACTGGGCACCACTCTACCAGAATGAAAGGGAATGAGTGCTTGGGAAACTTCAAATGCTTTGCCCAGCCATCCAAATACTGTCTGTTCTGATGGTAGGGATATTCCCAACAGAAAAGTGAGTGCTATGTTTTCAGGAACATTTTTTAAAGTATAATTTTCATTTAAGAAATAGTTGCCCAAATTAGCCATCTTCTATAGCAATGGTTTAAGTGCAACTATGGGGAAGTAAGAATGTGAGTTTCATACATAAGTCAGGGTTCAGGCAAGAATCATGTTATCTTAAAGATCAGATTTCCCCAACAATATGGCTTTCATTATGCACAAATGCATGACTTGTGTAGATGGAAAAAGAATCTAATATGTACCTGTATTCCCCAAAGTGCCCAGGACATACTCACAAATCAGAAAAGAACAATTTATCATAGAATAATTTGATATTTCTGTTACCCAAAGACAGATCACAACTTTTTAGATTTATGTATATTTTCCTAATGCCAGTTTCACACAGTACAGATCTCTGCTTAACACTTAATTCATAGTGAAGTCTCTTTATATATATATATATATATATATATATATATATATATATATATATATAATTTTTTTTTGGCTATTAGCCCAGTAAAATAAGAAAGACTACCTTTGAGGCAACTTTAAACCCTCAGAGATCAAGGAACAAAAGACTCATTCAGAATGAGGAAAAGAGAAGAAAAAGATGCTCTTTCCAGCTACATACACGTTGGTGGTGAAGATGCCATAGATGAGATCCAGCTCAGGTAGGAAGAACGTGCTCTGCAGCTCGTTGTAGTAGAAGGGCACCTCCCCGGGCCGGGAGCAGTTCAGGCGAGCCTTCATGAAGGTGGTCCAGGTGTCCTCCAGCAGGAAGCGCCCTCCGATGTCGTTCTTGCAGACCCGGGCAGCTCTGGAGAACACGGTCTTCCCACAGTCATGCTCCACGGCATTTTCTCGGAAGAAGAAGTAGGTGAAGTTTCCAATGTCATAGGAGGACACGAAGTTTGGTTCTGTGAGCGATAGGAAAGAAGAAAAATCTCAACATCCATATGTCATTCCTGATTTTACCTTGGCCTGCTCAGTATTTCTCCCAAGGAGACATGCTTCTGCTTAGACAACACCTGGACCTTACAGGACAAATGGGAAGCCCTGCGAGCAGCTTAATGGTCTGTGCTGCTGGGACACTCAGGGTCATGCCCAGGTTCCAATGACGGGCCATCAATACCGTGCTTCCACACTGCAGCACCCTGAGCTGGACCAGTGCCCAAGCTAGCATGACATCAATGCCATCAAAAGGCCAAGGGAGATTTGCAGAACAAATTAAAGCAATGTCTATTTCTTTGCTTGAAAAGTCTTACATCAACTTTGGAAACAGAGAGCAAATAAGATTACAAAGGTGAAATTTGATTCAGAATATAGGAATCTTTAATTGTTTTTGCAGCACAAAAAATGCTCTGACTTTATATCCATGTGTATGACTTCAACATATTTTATCTGCTTTTAGTAAGACCTTACAATATTTTCCATTGGTGAAAAGTGAAACAAAAACTCAAACTGTAAGGTTAGTGCCCTGAATTAGCTTCAGCAATTCCTGTTACTATGGTGACAGTGTCACTATGAGGCTGAAGCCTTGTTTTCCTATTCCTGGTCACTGATGGAACCACTGGGAGGAGACAAAGGTGTTGAGAGGAAGCCATTGTCTGGAAGCTCTCCAGTCTCATAAATGGCTTAAATAAGGGGATTGAGAATTGACAAAATTACGACAAAGCTTTTACTTAATCACCAAGCTCATTAGGAATTACGAAATACAGATTACCAACCGAATCTACATATTACATTGAAAGTATTCTCTTTCTAACTTCCTGTTTGAGAAGGAAGAGGCAAAAAGAGATGATGGATACCCTATAGACACTGATATGTCCCAATATGTATCTTTAAAACTGTCATAATCAGGTTTGATTCTCATGCATTTCTCTCATTCATTCAGCAAGTGTCCGAATTTTATAGTACAATTAGTGTAATTATGGCAATAACCTTTGGTGTTCAAAATTAATGAAATATACAGACAACAGCTATATCCACAAGGACACATTTTCAGGGATAGTTTGTAGGAGCAATTCCATTGACCTTGCACCTTACCAGATACAACTGTACTGTGCCAATAAACAGGCTATTGGCTGGACAACTGGAAATATGTCTGGCTGCAAGACAAGACATTAGCATTTAAGGCAGGCCTGAAACACAGACAGGGACTTCAAACACTGGCACGGAGTTGACACTGACTGAATCCTCTTCTATTTTATTCATCAAGACTGTTGCCAATTTCCAAACAGTCTATCCATCTATCTATCTGGCTAGCTAACTAGCTATGTATCTATCTTCAATGTCATCCACAAAATGTTTTCATATGACTGCACATTTTAAAAATGTAAAGCATTCTAAATGATTCCCATGGCTGTGCAGTTCCCTTCAGGTTGTTACACTGTTCCTAAGTACATTAAATCATATACAGAGATTTTTGAAGAGAATTAATTTAATTTATAAGCTGTCAAAAATATTCTTAAATCACTATTATGTTATCCTGAAATAGGTAGTTTTTTGTTGTTGTTGTTTTGTTTTTTAAAAAGACACACTAGGCAGTTGGTACATGCCTGTAATTCCAGTGCCTTAGGAGGCTGAGGCAAGAAGATCAGAAGTTCAAGTTCAGGCTCAGCTATTCAGGTGTCTCAAAATTCAAGAAAAATAAATAAATAAAAAGGTTTGGGGGATGTGGCTTAGTGATAAAACATCCCTGAGTTCAACTCCAAGTTCCAAAAACAAAAACAAAACCCAGAACTGCATTAAAACATATGAGAAGAATATTATATTCATTATTATTACTGTATAATTTAGGATCCTGGAGAGATACTCACAAATACAACAGGTGGCATATCTGAAATTTTTTTTTTAATATAAGGAAAGTATTGGAGAGTTTTGAATCCAGATTCCCTATGAGTCTCCAAGATAATTACTCACAAAAGCAGACCCCAAAACCAAACCTATATTTCTTGTCTAAGGAAAATAATCACTTGAATGTATAATTATGAAAGGGGAGGCTGAATCATTTCAGAATAGGTCCTAAACCTAGGGATGCAAAGCCAGATTATAGTTCCAGCACTTTATTAAAACGAAAAAGTCATCGTCATCATCAACAATAACAACAAACCATCTAAAATGGGGAACATAAAAACGACCTTGGGGGCAGGGTTTGTGTGACCTGGAGCTGTCACCAGCACTGGTGCATGAGGCAGAGTGCACCCAGATCTATCAAAACCCTCACCAGTACCCACTTCTGCTGGTAACATGGAGACAAGCAGCACAAAATGGGAGTGATGAATACTTCTTTATCTAAGAAGTCATAAGCAGGAAAACCACCATGAAGGATAGATGACCAATCGTGGTTTCTTCCAGCTGGTCTGTGTATGATAAAAAGTGTTTGTGGATTCTGCTGAGCCATGCTGAGCTTGGTCTTTTACATTCATGTGCTCACCAAACCCACAAGAGTCAGAGGCAGTGCTGTGTTCTTCCCAGTGCATAACTGAGCACACTGAAGCCCAGAGGTTTAACAGTTCACCCAAGTTCACACCACTAGCTACTGGGCTGGGAGGGAGTAGGGATGTCTGAATCCAGAGGGTGTGAGCCCAGAGCCTATTCATGTACCATCATGCTGCACTGGAAAAATACTAGTCTGAAAGAAACAATCTGCCATGCTTCCTATGTTTAATGGTAGGATTGGACTTCTGGACATGCATGATGTCGGATAGAGGGTCATCACACCCATGGAGAGTGCTACGGGCTTCACATAGGCACAGACTGAGGAACGTTTTACAATGAATTACAGGGAAGATAAATGACCAGCTACCAGGGATATTAGGGATGAAACAAAAAGAAAAGGTAGGAATAAGAGGTCAACAATTCAAGGGCTTATTAAATAAGAATATGGCTGGGAAATGTTTGATCAGGACCAGAGCAGGTTTTCGCATGGTGTCTCTATTGCCCTGTCAGCAAGTGAGTCTTAGGGGCTGTTCATGTTCATTGTCCACTCCACTGAAATGTCTCCCATGAAGATGTCTCAGATAAAGGAAATACTAAGGAATGGAAGGTGGTGTGGCTCTTTCCATAGCAAGCCTCCCTCTCTCCAAGTCTTCAAGCCAATTTTATAAGGTGACCATTGTGCATGTCAGATAGAAATGCTCAAATTCATTTTGTCTTGCTTCTTGTTTAGAACACAGAGAAGTTGTGCTCAGTGTATAGTGTACGCTATTCTCTAATTCATCACAACACAGGTCAGGTCAGCTGGGGAGCTGAACTACATTTGGAAGCACATTCAGCTGCCCCTCAGGGATTCTTTGGGTTGACCACAGGCCCCTGACAGTGTGACCTGCTATTAAATCAGGAAGTTCCATTTCTTGGAAGGCAGAGCCTCTTGAAATTCAGCCAGCATCCCATTCCTCTTCCAAGGACAGTGAAAAAGCAGGAATAATGGTTAAGCAGTCAAACATCTCTTGTATTTATAGATATAAATCTGGAGGAAGGAGGTGTTTGGATCTCGTCAGGAAGGATAATAAGATGCATATTGTTTTCCTCCCATTATTTAGTTCTGTGTCTTGTTAAAAGGCAATTCACTACAAACTAGTATCTGTCACTCCTGAACGAACTGAACAAGTCATATATCAGGCTTGCCTCCTTGTCTACGGCAAACATGGGCTCACAAAAGCAGATCTCAGAGAGCCTTTACAACTTAGCATCACCAGAGCCACAGATGAACAGAAGGTGTGGGGCTAGTTCAGAATAAAAGCAGCCATGGGTCTATGCCAGCTTATATAGAAATATACGCATGGAGAAGATGATTTTCCTCATGTTTGTAAAACAAGTTGAGTTACAGGTGAGAGTGCCATATAAAATATGCCAGGTTAATAAGAATTATGAATCATGAAATAAAATTTTTATTTTACATCTTCACTTAGAGTAATGACCATGCAGATGGGAGTACTGAGAAGCTACATTATAAATAAACATGAGAGATTAGATGAAGGATAAAAATTTTGAGATTTTGACCAAGTAAAAACACATTCTGAGCATCTGAAGCCTCTACTGTGCACTCTTTCTATTCCAAAGCCTAGAACATCAATATGGGGGTGCCCTATGTTCAATCAATGAACAGATCACTCATAACTTGTGGATATATCAAGAAACATTTATCTAAATGAATGAGAATGGATATTAAAAACAAAATGAATTCTAAGTTTCCAGCTCTACAAAAATCTTACTAGAACCAAAATCCATCACAAAATTATTTTGCACTTCAAAAGTCCACCCAGAAAGACACATGTCAAAAGGAAGCTAAAAATGACTTGGCACAGTACCCACACAAGTATAGCTCTGCCCTGGACTGAACTATCAATGTCAGGCATGCTCTGTCGTCCTGTATGAGAATGGAGGCACTGACGACCTGCTTTGCCAGACTTTAAGATTAAAGGGACTGGTACATAGTAGGATCACAATAGATTTTGGCTATTGATATTGGTTCATGATTGGCTCTTGGTGTACTTTTGGATTATTTGTATTTAATAGAACCTCAGTTAATCAAAATGATGAAGCATACATGTATCAAGTGTAAGATGATTAGAACCTAAAAAGCATAGATAGAGCCATGCTGGGCTTCACAGCCAGCCACAGGGTTTCTGTTCCCTAATTTGTTGGCGTTGATCCCCATGAAACCAGGTCAATGCACATTTATAGATTTTTCAGACACTCTTTTATTGTGTACATTATTTCCTTTGTCACAGCCAAAGAAGAATGTGTTGTAGGGGCTGGGAGTCTTATTTCATTTAGGTATTTATGAAGACTGGATAATTCAAGTGAAATTAAATTTATTGTGGTTTTAAAACCATGGGGGGAACCAACATTCTTTCCCTGGGCTTTCCACTAAAAGGCAAACAGATGAGTAGAGAGGTGGAAGATAACCACA